TTTTTTTTTTTTTTTTAACATTTATATAAAGTGTTTTTACTAATCTTAAATCTTTATCAGTTCAGATCATTTCTGATTTTCCTTCTACAACCTTCTCGATCAGTCTTCTCGATCGGTCTGCTCCCTTTGCCACATTCCTTGTTTGTTTGTCAATGTCCCGTTACGAAATCCAACAGGGATGCCGACGTTAGATGAGAACTTCCATCATCTCCCCGTCAGGGAACTCGGGCTTGTGCAGCGAGCTGCCGCCGCGGCCCTTGTGGTCAGGCGACTTCCCGTGGCCAGGAGAGTTCTCTGCCAAACACAAGGGAAACATCAGCAGCCTGCACCTCCAGAAGGGCGAGGGCTTTACAGGTGTCTCTAAAACGGAGCCATTTCAAACACCACCAGTGTATGTAGAAAAGGCCACATAACCTGGCCCACGGTGGAGCCAGTTACTTTCCACACATTCCCTGCCTTCCTTGGAAAAGTTCATTCCAGAAATTAAATCTCAAAAAAATGTCAATGCTGTATATACTTGCTTATTTTGTAGGGTGAAAATAAAGAACCCCCCTGAAACAGTTACTTTATGCCCCCAATAAGCCCACCTTCTCAAAAGAATTCCTGAAGAGAGCTATCTCCATGACTAGGATTAGTCCCCACGACAGAGCCGAGTCTACTCTTTGCCTGGATGGGTCTGGACTCATCGTGAGCTCACTCCTCCCAAGCCAGCTTCTCTTGAATGTTTTCAGGTGACCCATCAGTGCTAGCCTGAGTGCGGTGCCAGAGTTCCCTCCTCTGCGGTTAAACCCGCCTCCTCCCTCAGCCAGGAGGCGCTCCAACCCCGAATCCTGACCCAGTAAGCACACCCCGCCGGGCTAGGTACCCCACGCCTCTGATGAACCTGGTGCCTAGCACTGTCCTCCAACCTCCTAAGGAGCATGTCTATTTCCACCCCTCGTAAGAAATAGCTGGTTACAAGGCATACATTAGGGGGGACACTCACGTTGTGTACTCCTTTAAATGGTAATAAATTAGGAGTGTCTACATACATTTCATTCCCTAAGGCCACACACAGCCTAGGTGCATTAGGGTAACCATCATCATAAAAAACACCCCACAAAGTGACAGCTGATGGGTGACCCTGCTCCCTCCCCAGCTCAACAAAGGCTCCCCCTCTCAGGCCAGAGAGCTCTAGGGTTTTTCCTGTAGTGCAGAAGGAGACGGGAACCTCTTACCCAGCCTCTCTGTGGTCCCTTTGGCGGCCGGGTGTTTCAGGACCGGGCTGTTGGAAGGGGTCACGCTCAGCCGGCCGCGGTTGGGCAAGGAGGCCATGTTGGGCCAGAAGAGTTCGGTGCTCTTGTCCGTCTGGGTGCTGCTGTCCTTGCTGCCCGTCTTAGCGTGGGCGCTGCTCGCCGCTGTGGCGGGCACTGTGGGGGACAGCGCCGCAGCAGGTGGGGTGGGCAGTATGGGGGTGGAAGTGTGTTCGTGGTGCTCCTTCCCCAGCAGCAGCCCTGAGGGCAGAGAGACAGGTTTTTCAATGCCATTCTTTGAAACAAAACAAGACAAACAAAACAAAACAAAACACCCTAGTCTTGGAGATCACTTCCTTCTTGACTGAGGACTGTTTTATTTATTCATTGATTCATTGACCAAATGCATTTATAAGCACTTATTATGTGCCTGATAGGTTGATAGGCACTGAGGAAATTACAAAAATGAAAAGACCTAGTCCCCTCCCTAAAAATTTATAGTTGTTTTTTAGGAGTTGTAAAGTAAACTGGTTATAATCTAATATGATAAGTAGTGGGATAAAATTATTCTAACAGCCAGTGTTGAGGGGTGGGGATTCCTGCAAGGCTTTCTAGAGCCGATGCTTGCTTTACCTAACATGGCCCGGGAGGGCTGGCCTGAGCCATGGTTGTGTGCTTAAGGAAAACTGAAGGATTCCCTGGCCCTAGACACAGTCCCACTAGCCTGCTGTGCCTCGCAACAGCCCACAATGCCACCCACTCTTGGAACTGGATGGTCTCCCTCAGGGCCAGGTTCAAACACGACCTAGTTTCCAAGCCAGAACGACACTGAGGTGTGCACTTTATTCCCTGAGACCCCTGCAGCTGAGAGCCATGGCCCCAACAGGCAGGAAACCAGCGGGGTCCCTGGGAAGAGCCGCTCAGCCTCTTCTGGCTCCCCGCCCCAGAGCAGGCAGGCCGGGGGCAGGGAGCGTAGGGCATGTTGGCCAGGGAAGAGGCGAGCGTGGCGAGCAGTGCTTTCCCTTCTCCTCAGTGTCTTCCTGTAGAGCTGGATGGGACAGCAACTTTTTAATTTTTAAATAATGAAATACAGCACACATTCAGAAACGTGCCAGCACTCCAGAACACTGGCCTATAGAAAACGTGGTCAGAGCAATCAACTATCTATTCACGTATCTGAACCAGCCATCAATTCATAAAGTATCTTCACCGGGGCTACTCTGAGGTGCCCATTCATAACTCAGCACAGAGCAATTCGGTTTGTCTACAGCTGTACGTCCCAGATGTAACATGTCTGCTGGTGACTTGGATATATTGTTAAAAGAAGATTTGAGTCAGTGGGAGGGGCCTGAGATCTTGCTTCTCTAACAAGGTCCCAGATGAGGCCGGTGATGCTGGTCCACAGACCACATGTTGAGCGGCCAGGCTCTTGGGCTAGGTGCTCCACGCACATCACCTCACTTTGTATTTCACAACAGTCCTATCAGACAGGCCCTGCTGTTACCCTCTGCTTTACAGACATGGAAGCGGAAGCTCAGAGAAATGAGCATCTCACAGCCAGGAAGTAGCAGAAATGGGATTCAAGCCCAGCTGTGCCTGACTTTAAGCCAACCTGTGTTCTTTCCACCTACTCAGCTGCCTGCCAAAACTCGGCACTCTGACCAGGATGTCCTTGTGGAACTAAATCACTGGCCAGTCATCCCACCCAGAGCCCCGGAGCCATCTCTGTCACCTCTACCTCCTTCCAGAGCCCATTACGCAGGAGTTTGGGGAAACACTGTGGGAACGATACAGTGGCCCGTGACTGTGTGCCTCTTCCTGGCCTCTCAGAGAGCACCTCTCTGTTTTTGTAACAGGTGGACACCAATTACCATGACAGTAATGGAAGGGACACCAGTGCAGAGAACAGCAATTCTCCCTGCAGACTGAGTCGGGCTCCCAGGCCTGGTGCATACGTGCCATATGCTAGGGGACATAGGCACAGACACCAGAGCAATGGCTGCATGTCCCAAGCTGGCCTGAGCACACTTCAGACTCCTTTACTCCTCAGGCCTGTCTGAGCACCGACTCCCCAGCCCTCTAACTGGGGTGGGGAGCTGAGTGTCCTGGGGAGGGTCTTTGATGATCCGGCTGCTGTCCACGCACATCCTCTTTGAAGTACATTTCCTTGGAGGGTAGGGGCTGCTGAAGCAACCTGCGGGGGGACTTCAAACAGAGACTCTGGCCAGGTGCCTTGATCCCCCCAACTCTGTCAGGTTCATACTGAAAGCTCTCATCCCCTTTGGCATGAAAAAGTCAGGCTCCTCCGGGGTTCTGTGCTGACAAAAACTGGCTCTCGGCTCCAGAGATAAACAAAACACATTCCGACCTGGGGAAATGCATCAAAGGAGGGCCAGACCCTGGAGCTGCCAGAGCGCAGGGGAAGAAGTGGAGGACCTGTGTCTGGGAACGCTGCCTGCTTCCGCTCCAGACTCAGCCAGCCCTCGCCCCAGGAAGCCCATTCGTGGCTAACACCACATCTGCAGAATTCTCAGACTCTGCCTGTGCAACAGCAATGCAACAAGAACCACGACCGCCAGCCTCTCATGCTCGAGCTCACTCCCTCCACAGTGCCTCCGCCCCATTAGCTCATTTTGCCCTCACCACGGCCCCAGGGACAACAGGGCAGACAGTGCCCTGCTTTTCCGGGCACAGAAGCGGAGGTAAAGCAGTCTTACAACTGGCCTGGCGCAGAGCCAAGTTCAGAGGCCTGCCGTCTATGGGCTTTTCCTATTAGAACATTTCGTGTTGTAAGGGGTGGTCACCTCAACTTTCGAAAGTGATGGTAATAATTACAGGAGTCAACCCATGGCCAATAGCCAACCTGGCGGTATAGCCTTTGCTTCCACATCGCTCATTTAATTTTCACAACCAAAGTATGACTGATTCTCCTCCCCATTTCACAGGTGAGTAAACTGAGACTTGGAAATATTCAGTGGCATTTCTGTGTCCTATAAGGGACAAAGCCAGATGCCGGAAAAGTGTCAGGACTCTTCCCACCTGGTGAGGTTGCCTCTCAGTGCTGGTGTCGCTCTTGCTTCCCAGACCCTGGCCTGAAGGAGGCGTGGGCTCACCTATGCTCCCCTTCCAGGTCCTCTCCTCCTTCTTCTCCTCAGCTAACTGGCTGCTGGTGAGAGAGGTCTGGCGGGAGTGTGTCCCGGTGGCCGCGGCAATGGATGGGACGGAGCGGGCTGGCCGCAGGCTCGAGGAGTCCGTCTTCCCGGCATCTTTCCGGGATCGCTGCTGAAGGACCTTGATCATGGCATCCTTCTCGATGATCTTGGCGTGGAGATTTTTAATGCTGTATAACAAAAGAAAACAAAACAAGTCATAATCAAACGCCATCTGGCTAGGAAAATTCAACATGTTTTTCTCTCAGGCTGCCCCAGGGACTTGAATTATAATTCAGGGTGGAGCATAAAGTGCAGTAAAGTCTTCAAACACTTATAATCTGCAAATTGTGTAAGATGGATCTTTTGTAATAGATCAAAAGGGTGCACCTTCTCTGGCCCCTTGGGAGACTCTGGGAGCTGCTGTGAACCCGAGGACATAGGTTAGACTGACTGTGGCTCCCAGCAGGGGCTCAGGGGCCAGCTCAGAGGGTCTGGGATCCCTGGCTGTTGGGGGAAAGCAGAAGGAAGCATGGGAACTCTGAAGCCTCACACAGGGCCAGCCTTCCACGGAAGTCAATTTCCTGATTTTCTGGGAAAACCAATTAAAATATTGAACAGGCTTTCTGGGAGAAGATAATTTCCCCCTGAAGGCCAAACATGAGAATCAGAAAACACTCGAGATCTTTTCAAACTTGGAGAGTAACTCGCTGAGCAGGGAGGGGCTGGAGTGTGAGCGCAATGGGGTCTCGAGGCGCCTGGCCAGGGTGGGGGGCGAGGTGTCACGGTCGCACACACTGCTGTTCCTTACGTGTATTCCATGTCCTGACACCTCCTGGTGGCCTGCACCACCTCCTCCTCCTCCTGCCAGATGTGGGCCTCCAGCGAGCCCTCGCCATAGCTGCCGTTCCTCGAGTGGTTGATGATCGTGGTGTCCCTGGCAACACAGGACACACACAGAATGGTGTGAATGCTCCCTGGGAGGTGTTCGAGGTCGACACACTAAAAATATCCCTGCACAACTCCTTCACCCACCATCCCTCCTGAACCCTGGCCAATTCTCTCCCTCAACTTGATAGAATCAAGTCAGTATCTAAGGAAAACAAAATAAAATCCCAAAGTAACAATTCCCTGCGCCTTCTACCAATGACACTGTATATTGAAGTATGTGGCATGCCATGACTATGGACACTGTGCACCTGCTGACACGTGGATACTATTACCACATCTGTTAGTGTTTCTCTTTCATACTTACTCACCCCTTCTGACTTTCTCAATCAGAGTGGAAGTTTTATTTCTGCTACTCACTCACGCAGCAGCTATTTCAGTATTTTACAGTAAAATGGAGGCACCGTAAATACTTAAAACTGATACTGGTCCTCTTGGATGGAGAGACTCAAGCTGAAAGCTCCCATCATGTTTGCATTCTAGCTCCCTTCTTGTTTTACGGGCCCTGCCTGGGATTCAGGCCCGCTTGGTGTGACAATCACGCTGGGAGCACAGCAGAGAGATGAAGACGACATACACCCTGTCCTTGGAAAGTCCAGTCCAGGGGTGGAGTAAGGGGAGGGACAGACCCAGGGAGATTAAAGTGCAGTGGAACTGCAAGCAGGTGTCTGATGGAAAACAACTGGTCAAAGAGAACTCTTCCTGCCGCTGGTTTCGGCAATTTAATCACGTCTAGTTAACGATGGCTGGTAAAATGAGATAACTGCGCCATCTAAGTGACTGAAGTATATATTAGGCTGGAAGGAGCAATGATGTCTCTGATCAGTGAATATTAAATTAATAAGTAATGGCCCTAGCCAGGTGGCTCAGTACACCAAAAGGTTATGGGTTCGATTCCCGGTGAGGGCATGTACAGAAAGCAACTGATTCTCACATCCATGTTTCTCTCTCTCTCTCCCCCTTCCTCTCTTTCTAAAAATAATAAAAACATAGCCCAGCCAGAGTATCTCAGTTGGCTGAACATTATCTTGTGCACCAAAAGGTTGTTGGTTCAATTCCCTCGGTTAGGGCACACAAGGAAGGCAACCAATTGGCGTTTCTCACATCAATGTTTCTCTCTCCCTCCATCTCCCACCCTCCTTCTCTTTCTCTCTCTCTCTCTCCCCTTTCCTTTCTCTAAGCATGTTCTCGAGTAAGGATTTAAAAAAATGCTACTTCTTAAAAAAAACAAAACAAAAAATAAAAACATTCTCAGGTGAAGACTAAAAAAATTAATTAATAAGAAATTATCTAGCTAAATACTTAATATTTCAATGCTACAGTCATATTTAAAATCTTACAGCTCTTTTCTAGAATACTCAAAACAAGCAAAAAAAGAGCCCCTTCTTTTATCTTTTTTAACAACAGCTATCAGTGAATGAGTGCTTCTTCCAGGCGGGACTGGGTAAAGCACATCACCCTGGCTTCTCATTTAGTCTCACAGAAACTTATATGGCAGGTGTTATCTTCCTCACTTTGCAGGTGGCTTTGCAAGAACACCCAGTGAGCGAAGGTGGAAATGAATTCAAACCCACATATTCATTAACTCCCCAATGTCCATGCCCTTGACCATCACTGCATACTCCAGAGGTTTCTTGCGTTTTTATAAGAAGGCCTTGGCAAAGATGCACGTAGATGAAATAAACCAACAAAGAGGGCATCCGTGAGAAAGTGGCTTACGTGCAAACTGTAGCTGAAAATAACTCATAAAGTCCAATAATGTCGAAAACAGGCAAAATGCTTTAAACATGCTGGCAAAAATGTAAATTCACTCTATGGTGCACAAAAAAAAAAAAAAAAATCAACACTGGCATTAGTGGCTGGAGAAACATTTTCAACCAATTTACTTTTGGGGAATTCACGCAGATCCAGAAACAAACTCAAAAGTTCATGTTTACACTGCCAAGTAAGGACAGCAGGCACAACTAGACAAAAACAACTGAGGAGGAAAATACGAAAGGCTCTCAAAAAACTATTACATTGCTTTGAAATCTGTAAAAAGTTTCAAAACCATAAAAAATAGGCCCAACCTCTCAAAATTCTGATCAAAATGGCAAAATCAGTTGGTATATAAAAACTACTTTCTTTGTTTAAAAAGCATTGCTTATAAACGTGAAGTATTCATCAGTGGCTGAAAAGACACAGAGCTAATGACTGGGAATACGCCTTTTCACCAATGCGTGTGCAGTCATTTAGCATCTAGACAAGAGCTCAGAATTTTGACATTTCTCAAAAATCTTCCTTTCAACAGAAAAGCAATGCTGAAATTACAGAGGTTTTCTTTGAAAAGAACACTAAGATTGGAGCTACAAACCTGATTTTTCTCGAGACTGTGGGAAGGAGTGGTCAGTAATGGGGAGGGTAGTTTTCCACAGAATTATTAGATGCTCAATAACACATGTGGAAGCAAAAAAGGGGGGAAAGGAGGAGTGGTGGAGACACCCTCGTTCCATCTGCCCTGTTCTCTGAGGGCAGAGACGTTCGCCCTGGCACGAAGCATAACCAACAAGGCTGGGCGAGTGCAGTGAGTGGCTGACGGCGTCTGGGTTGTCTGGTTCTACTCCTACCCCCACCGCCCCCCTCATGCTTCCCCCATAGAGGTCTCACGCCTCAGACCTGTTCATTCCCCCTACTTCTGATTTTACGTTCCAGTCCCATTCGTCCTCTCAGGGCCCAGGGCCCCAAACATGCATCTACTCCGATAAATCGATAGTTGCTGAGACAACAGTGACACATAGAGAGAGGCCCCTGGGTCGTGCTTTTAAAGTAACGTGTTTATATTGCTTGCTATTGGGCTTTTGTGTCCTCAGTCAGTGGAACGGGGGCTGGTTCTCTATTTGCAACCAGCCAAGAATTACAATTTCCACTTCATAAACACTAATTTGTGAATGAAGTGAGTGACATTCAGAAAGGGCTTTGGCAGAATCACGTATCTACCGTGGGTGAAAGCTGGGGAAGCCTTGAATGTGGGGGTCCTGCCTCCCTCTGCAGTGTTCTCGCCATTAAAAATCACAGGGCGGCCCTATCCCCTTGTAAAACTTTAAGAAGGTTCATTCTCTTCCTCAGGATAGAGAGGTGATTTACTTATTACCTTACAAAGCAAACAGCTGTATATAAAAACATTCCAATTACGTAAACATCAAGAAATATTTCCAAGAGCTGCTATGTTCTAATGCATACGGTACAAAGACTGAACTGGAGGCTGCAAGCTCCTCCAACTCTCACATCACGACGGCAGCTTTGACACCCAGGACACGTCTCAAGTGTCCACTCCCACTCCCGGAGGCTCGCTTGGATGGGATACAGTGGGTGGTTTCCCCTCAGAGCGCAGGCGTGCATAAACAACACTCGAGCACTAGAAAATGACCCCCAAGTGGCCATTCTCCACAGGAGTCCGCAGGTCTCTCCAGCTGCGGGCGTGCCTGGCACCCAGCGGAGGCATCTGTGCCCAGGTGGGTGGCACTGCTCTCTCCCCAAGTCCTGGAGGCAACGCGTGAGCATACTGCTGGCGATTCTTCTCTACTTGAGTAAGTAACATGAGCGCCCGCGGATGGCTTACGAAGTATGCCCCCCACCCCCATGGGCCTCTCTTCCTCGTTAAAGAAGAAATAACATCCCAAGGAAACGTGGGACTGCCTAGCCTAGTTTTATGGATGCACCTTTGAAATTGAGGATCGCCTCCAAACGGACTGGCCCTAAATTTTAGTGAATCCCAAACAGCTCCGAATAGAATGCCCCGTATAACTTATGGGCACAGAGCACGCTGGTGGGAGGTGGGGTGCGGGCTGAGCGGCAGGGAGACACGGCTGGGAGGACGCGTGGCCGCTCCAGCCGTGCGGAGACCCCGCGTGCAGCTGAGCCCGGCAATCAGCTACCTGCTCACCCGGACGAGAGGAGAGCTTCGCGCAACTATTTTGTGAATTACTGAACATTGAGTCAATTTTGACAGTAAGAGTATGGTTGCCCATCTACAAAAAGGAAAGAAAGCGACAGAGGTCACAACAGACAGCCGCGGAAAACAATTTCAAGCCAGCTGGAATCAGGCTTGCAGCCGGGCAAATGTCACTTTGCCGCGCAGCCCCGCCACCTACTAGCAGTGCGGCTTGGAACAGAAGCGCTGCAGGCCTCTGGGCCTCCTTTCTTCACCTGCGAAATGGGGACAGCGGTTCCTCCTCTCAGGGCCGTGAGGGGTAACTTTTCTCCTGGTCTGGCCCACGTTGCACACCCGCTGTGGAAGACTCCGCGCTGAGGACCACGCGGCACTGCGCTTGTGCGGGTGCACTTGCTACAGGACTGAACGGAGCCCCCGCGTGGGACTCGGGGCTGGCCTCACCTCTCGGCGGCGGCGGTGGCTGCGGCGTTCATGGCAAAGTGCCGGATGGTGCTCTCCTCCAGATACTTCTGCTCCCACTTGGTCATGTCGGCCTCCAGGGCCAGGATGCGCTCCTCTTTCTCCCTCACGAGCTCCATGAGGGCCGGGGCGTTGTATTCCGGCATGCTGGTCGGGGGGCCGTTTCCATGTTTCTGGAGAAGCAGGAGAGATGACACCTTGATGCTGAACTGGGCTATAAAGTAGGCCACATAAACCCTGTCTGCAGGGTCGCCCACGTGGAGCACATGGGGCTCACCCAGACCCTCACACGCATTAGGGTCACCCTCCTGCTCCCTCCTCAGTACCGATGACCAAACTTAGCAGATCCTAACACCAGGCTACCCCACCTGCCAAATTCCTCTGTCTCATTTACTTGTCATGTAGCTTTATAATATAAATAGATAATATTGTCCCAATTTTACAGATGTGAAAACTAAGCTTCTGAGAGGTTAAATGAATTGCTTCATGTCTCTGAGCTAATCAGCAGTTGGGTCAAGATTCAAACCCTGGTCTGTCTGTCCACACAGCTCTGCATGACAAGAAGTGGCTTGTCCAATGTCCTGCAGTTAATTTATACCAAAAGCAAGAATGGGAACTAAGTCTTGGCCTTCCGGTCTAGGGTACTTTCTCCAGAGTTGACAAAAGTGATATCAACTGTTTGTTTCCCCAAGACTAGAGATAAAAATGTAAAGGCCCAGGAATTGGGAGCGAGAAACCCTAAGACTCGTGCTCTCCCGGCTGTAGTGCTCTCACCTGGGAAACATAGAAATGAATACCTGCCCCATTTAGAAGCCTGAAAATCAAGTAAGATAATGCATATGAAAGCACCTAATAAACTTTAAAGGGCCAAGCAAAGTAGAGTGCTACTAGAAATCCTCTGATGCAAGCCCAGGCCTTTCTTTTTGCCTAGGTCTGTAAGACAGGAAATAAAGCGGCTGTCTTATCTGAACTGCTCACCAGTGGAGGACATTCACATTTCAGATCATTCCCTTTTAACTCAGGCATGCTATTTCCTCTAAACAGCATGATTAGGAGGACTATGGGGTTTGAAGAGGTTCTGACTTCAGGGAGAATGACTCCATCCCGGCTGTTCTACATCCCTCATGGTTCTCAGGGATCACAAATTTTAAATGCACAGCTGGCTGCAAGGTGAGGGGTGCCTGAACGCTTTACCCTGAACCACACGACCTACCTAGGACAAGAGCTGGGTGTTGAGCTGCCCTGATGGAATCTAATCCTACCAGAGAAAAAAGAGCAAATGGGCCCGTGGGCTTTTGTAAACCACATATTTGCATTCAATTTTTTAAAGCTACAAATACAAATTATTCTAGGATCTTGCCAGTGACCAACATTTAATCGAGAATAGAGCGAAGGCACGCACCTGTCCTCACTGACCTACACAGGAAGTCACTGACTCCCCTCTAGCCAGCACCTGGCCTTGGACAGGAGGAGGTCAAGTCCAGCAAGATGAGAAGCTCCCCTGTTCTCAGAAATGGTCCCAGAAAAAGATCCCACAGCCTTGCTAAGCTGCCATCCAAGCTGGTCAGTTTCTATCTAAAGCCTAATGTTGCCATCTCAGCTGGCTTATTTCTGCAGAATACTTTTGACCTCACATGAGATCACAGCAATTCTTCATAGAGCACCTAGTTCAGGTCATTAGGAGTTATTAAACAAAAGCTTGAATTTCAACACTTAAGCATGCAGAGATAGCACAGTCTATTGGGTAAGCATGCGGGCTAGAAAAATGGACCGAGGCCAGGCAGGCTAGCTTCTGCGGCCCATTCAGTTGGTCAACAAATATTTACTGAGCATGTACCATATGCTGGGGATACCACAGTGAACATACTTCTGTCACCTTTTTCTCAGTGGGACTGGAAACTTTGGAGAAACGGAGGCATCTGGGAGAGGGTACCAAGGATGCCCAAGGTCTTCAAGTGACTCTGAAGGTCATGATGATGATGATAAGAATGGCAATGATAGTTACTCCTCCTTAATCCATCGCTAGGTGCCAGGCCCCGTGTAAGCACTGTGCAGATTTTCTCATTAGTAGCTACAAGGTCAGTGTAATTTATTTGTCCCATTGCAGAGACAAGGAAGTGGAGGCTCAGAAAGCGTATCTACCTAAGGGCACTTTTCTAGTAGGAGGGGAGGGCAGGAGTCAACTTGGTCAGTCTAACCCTAGAGTCATGCTGGAATCAATTCACAATTCCAGGCCACTCTGCTCACCTCCAGTCTACCCACCTTCTGGAAGGTCCCAGAGCACCTCACAGGAATAACTGCAGCTCACTTGGGGGCTCTGTGTTGTTAAACATCTGGGTGGAGAAATTAACCTGTATCCTGTCATCAGTTTAAGGGCAGAGACCCTGTGTGGGTGTTGATTTGGTAAGTGCTCTGAGCTACTCTCTCAAAGGTCCCCATGGGCAGTGGCTTTGTTGAGGGGGTATGTGACTTTTCTACAGGGATCAAATAAACGTTTGCCTTGGCAGCGCAGGGGTGAGGAACAGGGTTCAGGTGAGCTGGTCACATCCAGGCAGGCAGGCATATGTATGAGCTGCTGCAGAGTGAATGAGCAGGAAGCTGGTCAGAGAGGCACCTGGGTACCTTTCCCAGAGAGGCTGAGTATCTCTACTGACCCCATGCTCTAGAGTGGGCTAGAGTGGACTCCAGGCATCTCCGCTGAGGGCCAGCAGGCCTGCGCTCACCACACTGTCCACAGGACCCAAGCAGGAGTAAGACCAAACTTTATAGTATATACCACATGGAACTAGTTAGAAACTCAAGGTTTGGGGGTGAATTTATTTGTAATAAAATTTTTACCTTTCTTGGTTAAAGAATAATGTATACTCACAAGCAAAATAACAGAGGTATTAAAGGAAATAAAAAATAATACATGCTCACTTAACATCATAATATTATTTTTTAAGAGATGCCGAGTTAAACAAAGTTCTCCCTCTCTTTGGTCTCATGTCGGCCTTAAACAGCTGGGGGTCTGCTATCAGCCCCCAAAACTAAATCCAAAATGCAAGCTGAGTAATTTCCCTGGAGAGCCTCAATTCTTTTATCTTTTTTTTTTTTTAAATCCTTAGTGGAGGATATTTTTTCCATTGCTTTTCAAAGAGAGTGGTGGGGTGCGGGGAAAGAAACATCAATGTGAGAGAGACACATGGATTGGTTGCCTCCTGCATGCGCCCTGACCGGGGCTGGGGATCAAGCCTGCAACCCAGGTATGTGCCCTTGACCAGAATCAAACCCAAGACCCTTTAGTCCGTGGGCTGATGCTTCAACCACTGACCCAAAGCAGCTAGGGCAAGCCTCAATTCTGAAACCTCTGCCCCCCACAGGTGCGCCTAAATCCGCCTGCCACCTTTACACACAGCAGGAATGTATCTCTACCGGTCTGAGGAAACGATGGGCATGAGTGTGCAGGGCTGTGTGTGCACACTGTGAATGGTCCTCTGTGGCAAGAGATATTTGCCAAATCATTCTAACTTCACATTTCTCCTTGGAACACAAGGAAACAGGGTTGAGTCTGGCTTCACAGCACTCAAAATAGAAGGCTCCAGGGTGTGGGGGACACAGTAACTGGAAGCAACCATTCTTTTCTGCTTCAAGATGTGCCTGTTTTGTCAGTCAAAGCTTCATAAGTGTCACCGGTGCCAGCGAGGTCCTAGCACCAGAGAAGCCTGCCCTCCAGCTGGGGAGGCTCCGATCACAGTAACTGCACAACAGAGACCAGCTGAAGGGCAGCCCACAGTGCCAGGGAATGTGGCACAGGGTGGAAGGAACAGAAGTCCAGAGAGAGACTCGCCCTTCCCTACGAGCCAACAACTAAGCCAAGATGGTGGGCGGCCGGGTGGGTTTCCTTATGCTCTGGGCAATCTCACTGACACCTCCTCCAGCCAAGTACACACACCCAGGGCGCCTGCCATGAGAAAGGGCTGGGCTGGCCCGAGCATACGCTTTCAAGTGTTTTCAAGTGTCTCAACCACAACCACTGTGCCCTATCCAGTAGATAATTCCATGGAGCCGTCTTGCATTCCCCTGGTTCCCAACTTAAGGCACACCCTTCATCAGCTGCAGGGAGGGCTTTGCCCACCACACTGGCCGACGATACACCAGCCGGGGCGCTCTCTGGAGCCATGAGTCTGCCCGGTCTGTGTGGATCCCAGTCCAGCCACAGAGCTGTCCTGCAAGACTTGTCCCTTTGCTGAGGCACATGGACCCTGGGCTGGGTGTTCTACTCTGAGCTTATTCATAGCTGAGTTATATTAATAGCTGTTGCCAGGATAAAGAAGGCAAGGCAGAAGGATTAGGAGCTTATGGCCAATATTATACTCCGGGGATAGTCCTGAACCCCTTCCTTTCCTTTACCTCTGAACACGCACTGATGATCAGTCCTACTAGTCTCACCCTCTGCTAGCTCCCCCGAGAATTCCCATGTCACTACACCTTGGGTGACACCAAGAGCCTTCAGGCCAGCCTCCCTCACGTCACCATCTGCCTCTCCAGACCCTCCCGACACCACCAGAGGGCTCTTTGCCCAATCCTTTGGACATATTCCTCTCCAGCTTAAAAACTCCCAGTCGCTGGCTCTGCTGATTAAAGGAAGAAGTCTAGTCTCTCCACCTGACCAAACGCCTTCCACAGCCGGCCATCCCCTCCTCGCCAGCGCCTCACTGGGCGTTGTGCCCCGCTAGCTGCACCCAGCTGACCCGAACCCGCGGCGCCGGGACACGCCGCTCTCCTATACACGCCCTCCCTCCGCCTCCGCTGCTCTTCCCCCGAACCCCCAACACACTCATCTTTCAAAGTCCAACTCAAATGTCCTCCTCTGTGAAGCTGTCTAAGGCCACATTCCCCGATGCCCAGCCCCCAGGGGTCACCACTCTCTGTGATGACGTCTGTCACTCCAGTGAGCGGACTGCCCGGCTCCTCCATGGCCGCTGTTGGTTCACTAGGACGGGGAGTTCTCTGCCTCAGCATCCTCAGCACCCTCAGCGCAGAGCAGAGGCTCGTGTGCATCCGGCTGTCTGTCGGGCCCCCCAGCCCCTCACCTGCTGGGTTCTCAGAGCGTCCAGCTCTCTCTCCAGCCAGGTCCGAAGTCTCCGCTCCATCTGCTCTCGCTTCTCACACGCGGACTGCAGCTGGGTCAGGGCCTGCTGCAGCTTCTCCACCTTCTCCACGTAGGCTTGCTTCTCCCGCAGCTGGGCAGGGGAAAGAAGGGGCACGGAGCTCAGACCAGCGATTCTCAACATGGGGGTGGGGTGGGGCTCAGATTGCCTGGGGGCTGGACTTAAACTACCAGCGCTATACCCGCCCCACTCCTGTCCATGTGCTGGGACAGAAAAGGGTTAGACGCGGCCACCAATTATACCTAATGCGACTGGGATGCTTGGAACTGAAGATCCTACTGGGGCGCCTGACTTCAGTTATTTGTACAGCTCTGAGCTCAATCCTTGGTTCCTGCTTAGTAATCAGAGCATTTGCTGGCATTGGAAATGGGGTTAAGAGTTTTTAATGTTATGAGGAAATGTTTATTCTATACTGTTAACTGAAAAATTCAAAATAAAAAATTATATACATTATCACAACTCTAACTATGAAGGAAAAAAGGCTGAGGAAATACTTAAAAGCATTAGCCATGTTTATCTGTGTGGCTGAATAGTCACTTCTCATCTTCTTTATTCTTTTCTTTATTTTTCAAATTTTCCATAATAATTATAAATTACTATTATAATAGAGAATTCTGTGTGTGTTTATATGCACGTGTGCCCATGTACATGTATGTGTGAATAGATATAAAATTTTCTTACTCTAGATATTTGTACAATAACTTTCTTCTAAAGGTCTGAGCCTTTATAGACAAGTAGCTGACAGCCCTGAAGAGGCAGGAAGGGCATAATGAACTCAACACAATCACCGAGGAGATGGGAATTTGGTAAAAATGATTTATGGAAATGTCACATCCAGTATCGACCGAGAATTCTGAGGAACAACTTCAAAAACCTCACACTTTGTGTCTTCCAGTTAGGAGTCTGGGCCAAGATCATGAATCCTGCGCACGGTTCTAACTTTCTGGGAACTGGGTGGTGCCAAAAATCAGGCTGAGGCACTTATAGGTCCTGAGTGAGAAGACGCCAGATGCCATTTCCTGTCATTCAGTATCTGGGTGTGCAAATGCCTTGCAGGTGACTCAGATCCTGGGTTCAACCTGTGACTGCACTGGCAGGTTGGAGCATGCTGGTGATTTAAGAGCTCGCTGTGAAGTGGGTTCTGACTTAGCACGCTGCACTGCCATGAGCTACGCCTACATCCCAGCCAACACCACTGGAATAAGTGGAGGTGCTTCTTATCTTTCAAGGAGGGGGTGGTGGAAAAAACGGCAACTTTATACCTTCTTGGAATCAATTTTCACCTGGCCCTTCCATTCATTGTGCTTTGGATTGCTTGATTCAGTTTAATAGGCACGTGAGGACCTACTAATGCAGGTTCTTGTTCTAAACACCTCACCTGATCAGATATTTTGTGAGTACCATTTATGTACTACTTATCATGTCCTAGACTGTGTGCAATTTTCTAAGTCTGTAGGCGCTAGAAGTGTTTTGGTCCCTGTTGGGCAGAGTGCACTGTGTGTCCCCAATGCCTGGAATCCAGTAGGTACTCAATAAATACTTGTTAAATGAATGAATGAATTTTATCCCTAATCAACTGCAAGATTCTTGAAGGCATGGGTCTCTCTCATTTAACTTTATGTCAGTCTTAAGTCTAGCTAGGAGTATATTATGATGAAGATGATTAATAATAACGATGATATCAGCCAACATTTTTGAAGCACCACCATGCCAAGCTTTGTGCTTTATATGTAGTATCTCATTTAAACCTCCCAATAATAGTACAAGGCAAACTCTTTTATTGTCTCCATTTAAGAGATGAGGAAACTGAGGACGAAAGAGGTTAAGTGACTACTCAAGGTTACACAGTTGATACAGCTGTTCTGGGGTCACAATTCTAACTCAGTGCAAGCTCCTGACCATCATGGGAAGTTACGGTAAGTACACAGCAGGAGCCATCTGGACTGAATCAGGCCCTACAAAAGGAACCTTAATAAGAACAAGGAGTGCGACTGGAAGCCAGACACATGAGACATTTGGAGAGGCTACACACAAAGACCGTATACAAACATAACAACAAGAAAAGATCCACAGTGGTGATCATAAAAAGAGCCTATCTCCAAGGATTTCACAGCTATTCCTTTCATAGAAATATTAAAACAAAAAGATTAAAAAATTTATAACTTTCCTTCATTCCACACATGGAGAAGGAGCCTTAATAAGTGATTTCAATTATAACAATAATAAGGGGTCCTGGCCTCAAAGCAGACCCCCTGTCCTTCAGCGACTAAGGTCGCTTTCTGTGGCAAATGTTTTCCTATTTAATGAGTTCCTCAGTGGTGACAAGGATACTCTGGGGCTGTTGCCCTGAGACTGCTGATGCTAGCATTAAAATTGTGGTTTCCACATAGGACTTAAGGGGTTGAAAAGGCTTCTAATGGACAAGACCCTTGTAGACTTAACAATCTTCCCCTTTAGCTGCTTTAACCTTGAAGTGGAAGTTTGCTGAGACACTGGGTTATCTGGCAACAGGAGATGTTTTCTGAAGGAATAGCTTTTTATTTTCAACAGCAGCAGCAACAATTGGGTTAATAACAGCACTGTTTTCAACATGTCAGGCACCAAGCGAAGTACTTCGTGTAGACTCCCTGGGTCATGCGTCTTCCAGACTTGGGGCTTCTACTTTCCACAATGGCTCCTGCCTACCCGGGCAGACCTCTCCTCCTTCTCTGACACTGTCTACAGCCTGAATCCCCTAGCTCGGACCTCAGAAGTGATCATTCTACTTCCACAGTCAGGCTTAAAGGAAAAGTCTACCTCACAAAACAATTTAAGGGTTAATCTCATCAGAAACTACTACATCCATATGCTTAAGTGGGATCAAACTTTCCTGGATTTGGGGGTCGGGGAGAGTCATTGCATGGCCAACTTATGAAAACTGGAGACAGGCTTGCTGTGGCATCCACCCCCATCAGAGGACTTTTGCCTTTTTTAATGCAATCGAGTCCAGTCCAAAAGCAGAGCAATTGAATTATTTAAAAAAAAAAGTCCCTTTTCTGTACAGCCACTGGTGGTTTCCAGCCCTTCCATTTATTTCCAGCCCTGGACACCTGCCAACCCATGGGCTGCCGGCGGTGTCTGAGGCTGAGGGAGCTCTCTGCTGATGGTATTCACGTACGCCTTTCGTGCTTTGCCTGGCTCTGGGTTGGATCAGCTCTGTTTTTATTCATTTTTATTTGGGAGGTCTCTTATATCCCTCCCCCAACTCAACTCCTTGGAGTTGGCTTTGGTTGAAGATGCTTGGTTAGAAAATGGAAATGGAGGCCCTCGGGGCTCTGCCACCTACCCCCCCAGCCCTCTCACCCCATCTCACCTCCTCTTCCAGCTTGATGACCCTGGCCTGGGCGTTGCTCAGGGCCTGGTCGAGGATTTCAATGTGTCTCCGGTGGTCCTCACTTGCAGTCCTCACTGCCGCTAACTCCATTTCTAACTTCTCCTTTTCCTTCAAGAACTCTTTGTCTAAAAGGGAGACAAGAACAAAACTACATCTATCAGAAAGTGGTCCCCCTCTGGGCAAACTGCCAGTCTACATCTGGCAAAGATTAAAAATAAGAAGCATGAAAAGAGAGGGTCGAATTACTGCTTTTGCTCCCTCTTAATAGTTGTGGTGCATGAGGTAAGGATTTTCTCAAAAAGCACTGTTAACTCTAGATACACGCGGTTCCAGAGACGAACCAGTGACCCCATATTCCCCCCAAACTCGCTTCTGTACAACATTCACGCTAAGGCCGCAAGTTAACTTTTTACTTCTGATTTCATTTTATGCTTACAACCTCCCCTTGTTCCCATCTTCCAAACCAGTGATGAGAGGGTGGGAAATACTAACAACAGTGCTAATATTCTCATTCACAGAAAAATAAACCAAGGTCCAGAAGTTTAAGCTCTTAGCCTGAGGCCAGGCAGCAGAAGGGAGCTTCCACCCAGGCCTCCCATCTCTGGCTGGATCCCCTTCCCGTAGGACCTGGCCCCACATGTTCTCTTACTTCTGTTTAAGAAAGAAAAGGGGCATTGCTTTGGATTTAGGAAAGTGGCTTTCCTCTCACTGACGATGTAACTGATGGTGATCCTGTCTGCATGTGGGAGCAAAGGCTGCCTGCCCTGTGCTCAGCACGTCCACCCACCTTCCCACAGATGCCCTACTTCCCGTTTTACTAAGCAGGCCGGGCCGATAGTGTCACGGGGTCAGCATTATTTAGTGAAACCATTTTTCCTCTTACAAAGCAGTATGTTTTATAAATCAGAATGGTTGGATATATTGCTTATAACATGGAAAAGCTTGAGTGGACTTAGTGTGTAAGAACAAGGGGTTGGTTGAATAAACTACTGTAAGCCCTTTCATAGGTCAGGATGTCACCACTAAAATAAGTGAATATAAGAAACACGAGGAAAAAAATCTTCATTATTGAAAAAGGGTTGGTTACAAATCCCTATACACAGTATTCCATATTTTAAAAATATGAGCATATAATTACAAGAGCAGCAGCAATAGTTAGAAACTGATTTCTATGTGCTCGCACCATTTGAATGTCTCATCCTGGTTATCTCAGTCCTACCAACCCACACTGAAACACAGAGAACCAACGTCTGGGAGCGACACCAGCATGTGACAGTGGTTTCATTCATTCACGATTTCCTGGTATATTCATTAATTAATTTACCAATAGATAGCAACTGAAAGGACCAGCCCTATGGGCACTGAAGCAATAGAGAGAGCCCTGTGCTTAAGGAGCAGGAAATGTGAAAGCAGGGCATAAGAGTAAAAAGGACACTTTAGGCTGCAAATACCCAGTTAACAAACACACAATTTTGAAGCCGGAAGGAGATCATAGGAAACATCACCATCCAGTTCCACCCCCTTTGCTTTATGGGTAAGAAAAGGAAAACCCAGGAGCAAAGGCATTTGTCCAAGGTCCCCCGGCAGCTGGGGCAGAGCCAGGGCCAGAATCCGGGCCCTCTGATGTCCCACTGCAACGTCCTTCCTGCTTGACTGCACCGCCCTTGCATTGTGAGGCTATGTCAATGGGATGAGTGCAATGGGTCAGCTTCAGAACTGCCACATTGAATGAGCAGCACTGTAAAGCTAAGTAGTGGCTGTGCTGCCTAGAAACAGTAGCATCCCCTGGAAACAGAGTGAGGCCCCGAAGATCTGACCCAGAACAGAGCATTCCTCTTGGGCTATTTATGCTCCACTGCAACGTCCAGCGGCCCTCCCCCCTTCTCCCCTTCAGTGGCATTTGAAATGCTGCCTCTGAAACTTCCTTCCAAGTCCATGGGGAACAGGCTCTGGGCCTCGCCATCCACAGCCCTGAACAGCCCAGTGCACTTTATTCTTTCTGTGCAGAGTCACTGTCATTTGAGCCGCAGCTCCCTGGGCTTGGACAACATCTCAATGGGCATGGTGCCCACTGGCATCCAGAAGTTACTCAGCAGGCATGCCTGGGAATGAATCACTGGATCTCAGAGATCCTACCTGCTTATCAACCTAAGCATAAGAGTTCTCTCTGTTAAGGGCAGCCAAGGACACAACAGACTGAGCTCAAGACTAGAAGCCACAACCACAGATTCTTGCAGTTTGCAAATCGATAATCACAATCATTGCTGTGTTATGATGACAACTATTTAGATTTCTGAATTAACAAATACCACTCCCCTCCAACACACACACACACACACACACACACACACAGAGGATTCCAGCATTTGCTATTTCCTTGATTAGTAGTATCATACGGTGACTAAAGAGTAGACTTCAGCATCAGGGAGAACTGGATTCACATCCCAGGTTCACCACCTGGCAGCTCTGAGGTGCAGTATTTAACCTCTCGGAGCCTCAGCTCCCTCATTTATCAAATGAGAACAATGACATCTACATCACAGTGTTGTGGCGACTCTGTGGATGGAGATAATGCATATAAAGTATAAAAGAATCTAAATATCAAGGATTTTATCTGTTTGGGTCATTACTGATTCCCCGAGTCTAGAACAATGCCTAGGTCAATGAATACTGTTGAATGAATGACTTTCCACCATGTGTGCAGTTCATTGCCACTGTACAATAGTGAGTGGCAACTCTTGTTAGGTGTTAGCTGTTCGGTACTCGGTATCCAACCCTGTTATATAGCTGTCCGCTCCCCCTGTGTGGCCTCCATGCACCAGAGAGCTGGTGCAGACCACAGACATCCCCGGTCCCCTTCTCGGCCCAGGCTACCGGAACCTCACAGTGTACACTACAGGACACTAATAGGTGAAGACTGTTAGATCTGGAATGCTTTGCAGGCCTCTGGAATTCATGGGTCAAAACAATATCCGAGTTTGGTGACTTTAGACTTCAGACTGAAGAAGTATCACTCAGGATCACTCACCTGGCTCAGAAACCCTTATCTATTGGTAAGAAGTAGTGCTCTTGATAATAAAGTTTTAAAAACAAACACGCGTGACAAGAGTGTTAATAACCAAACCAGCTAATGTTTGTTAAATGACTGTGTTCCAAAACGGTGACATATTACTTCCTTTATACTATTATTTCCTTTAAGTTTACTGTATGAGATAGGTACTGCTATTATTCCCACTTCCAGTTGAGGAAAATGACCCTAAGAAAGGATAAGTGCTGTGCCCACAGAAGCGATGCTCCCCAATGGTAGAGCCAGAACTTGCATCTTGATCTAAGCCATGTCCCAAACACGGCTCTATACGGCCTCCCCTGAGCAAGCGTGCAGAGATAAAGAATTGCAGAACAGGAGCGGGAAGTACAGAAGAGTTCCACTGTAAGGCAGCTCATTATTGCACAGGTAAGTATGGCACAGGTCATATCATATTTCTCAAAATACCCCACATGCATATCCATTTGCAAATGTCAATTAACTAAGCATCTACTACGTGGCAACGTTGCAGAGTACTGGTTAAAAGCATGGATCTAGAGTCAAGTTGCCTGGGTTCAGATCCAGTTCTACTACTTACAGTTTTGTGATTTTGTAGCTAAAAGCACTTCTTTGTGCTTCAGTTTTCTTGCCTTTAAAGTGAGGATCACAATAGTACCTACTTCAAAATGCAGAGAGTAAGTGCCCAGTAAATGTTAACTCTGATAATGCTGTGGTTACTGTTGTTCTGAAAAGTGTGCTAATTTCTGGGACTACAAGGTGAGTAGGACATAGCATTCTGCGCTCAACTGGGTGGGAAGCGAGGCAAGGACATAGGCAAAGGGATGTAACAAGTGGCTCTAACAGGTGCTTGCATCGGGAGAACACACAGAGGACATCTAATTCCAGCTGGGGGGCAAGGAGAGGGGGTGCCTAAGCAGGGATCCCATAAGGTGGGATACCAGTGCCCCTTTGACTCCCTGGAGACTTGGGGCTGAGGTATGTCAGAGTTATTTAAAAAGTCATCTCTTGGGAGATGTCAAGGGAGAGTCCCATGAGTGAAACCACCTCATTGGAAAGTTCTTTCAGTTTATTATTAGCTAAGCCCCTTGGGAGAGATCCAAGAAAGGTCAGCCTCACACTGACGTTTTGGTTGGGCTCCAGTGTATATACTGAGAATTCCTAGAACAGGCAAGTTGACACAAGGGAACTCTTGCCCAGAAGGGTCTGTTTACTCAGTGGATATGAATTACCCCAGGCTGCATGGAGAGGGGAGTTGTTTGGCCTGATGGCTCCGATCCCATTTACACAGGGATGCCTGCTCATACACTATTTACTCTGGAAGCCACAGCGATGGCACAGGCTTTGTAGCCAGTCTGACCTGGTTTGATTCTGGCACCTTCACTATGGGCTCACCGTGGACACGTGGCTTCACCTCTGTGCCTCCATTCTCAGATGTAACTAGTAAGATCGATTTTGCAGGACTCTCTGTAAAATACCTACCACTGGGCTTGGCACATAACAGATACTTAAGTAATAAGAGCTAACATATGTTTCTGGGGGCTTACTACATCCCAGGCACTGTGCCCTGAACTTCACAACTGAGCTCCACGTGACAACTGAGGAAACTGAAGTGCCAAGAGCTATGCTACTTATATAAGGCCAAATGGTAGCTGCTGTTGTGCCTCTATCCATAGGTTAATCTGTTTGCTTGAGGAAAGAGCAGAAGTGGATGGAAACCAGAACTGGGCCCAGTATTCAAAAATGTTCTCTTTGCACCTGACCCTCCTTCCCTTTGCCAGTTCTGGATAAGGTCCAATGTGGACAGTCTGTTCAAACTGTTTCTGCAATTACTATTTGAGCACTAAGCTTAACTGCTGGCTGAACCATGGGATGGTGGCCCTAATAACCTCTGGGCGTGCGTGTGGGGACTAACAGTGGGGGGGTCACAGCACCCTGTGCTGCAACGCTAGTTTTGAATTCAGTGTTCCAACTTGCAGCTGGAGCTCATGAGGAGAGCAAAGCTTTAACCTGACCCTTCTCAGGTAGGAATACATTTCTAGGATTTTCTTCATATAACAGGTTTTTGATGAGTTTTTCCCT